TCAATTGATAATTTTTTCCATTGTTTAGCTGATGATTACGAGGAAACTGAAAGGCTGAGCGTTGGTTAGTTTTAGATTCCTCCTGCCTTCTGCACTTTGAACATACTTGGGTAATCTTCCCACAATGTCTGGTTAGTGCCAGTTTAATTGCATCAAAAAGCTTAGGTTAGGAGATGGCTACTTGCAGTGCATAGTCTCCAGCATTCAGAACATTGCTAGGACCCACAGACTTTGCTGTTTCCATTGCATTCAGCTACTAATATCACAACTGAGAGACAAATATGATTTCTTACTGAGCACTTCTAACTAAAGGCACTTGCCAACACTTTGGCTTTGTGTTTTTCTACTTTCGTATGGTTTACCAAAGCAGACAATAGGATATTCATGGAGTGTCCTATTCCTACATCATGCCTTACTGACCACCACCATTATTGATTGCGTGTGATGGGCTACAGAGCTTTCCTTTGAAAGCTGAAGGCGGTGGAAAGATTAGCTAATTAAAAGTTGAAAAACAAACTGCTGCTTTTGCAATTGCAGGTAGCACTTGGATGTAACATCATTGAGTTTGTGCCTAATTCCACAGAACTCCTGATTCCTGTTCTGCTATTCCCCCCAGCTGGCTTGAAGTTACCTTCACCAGAAACCCCGTCTACTGATATTGCATGAGTTATCTTACTAATGTGGAAGATTTACTACTGGAGGGAAAATAAGCAGTTATAGGTATGCATATCATTCATCTGCTAATGATTTCCAATGTAAGTTATTAAGTGAAAAATAAACACACAAACAGACTAAATAGAAAGCCCAAAAACAACCCAACCAAAAATAAATTTGAAGTGTGTATTGGAAAGGAAGCATTTTGTGGTGCAGTGGTAGAGTCCCTACCTGTGGACCAGAAGGTCCAGGTTAAAGTCATGCCTGCCCAGGAGATGTGTCATAATATGTCCGAGCATGTCAATTAAAATACCTTTTTTGGATAGACATGCATATACTAGAGTGGGACATGTCTGTAACATCTTGGGTGTTAGTGCAGGACAATCACAAACAAACAGACAGCCTCTGCTGCCTCATTTTCTTTTCCAATTGCTGCCTACTGGCTCTGGCCTGTCTTACTCCATTGCCCGTATGCACATATGCGCCACTGTGTTAAATTCCTGACAGCCAATTGGTGAAGGAGGCCAGAAGTCAATCTTTACTCAGTTTTAAATTTATTCACAAACTGAAATCTTACAAGTCTTTAGCTCCAACCCCACCAACCAATGTCAACAAGTGTCTCTCTACAGATGCTCAAGGAATTGTCTAGTGGATGACCTCCATCTGTATGTCCTTCACCTTAGTTATACAAATAACATATTATCTCCATTTAGACTGTGGTCAGTAGCTTTATTCTTCTGGTCTGAATTGAAAACAGACTGTTTTCAGTGGAGGCATCATAAGAATCTCATTAATCATTTTTGAGGGCAGAAAACTCACTACTTTTTGAGATCTCAGCAGAGGAGCGACCAGCACAATACCAGCAATTATCGTAGGAACGTGGTCTGAGGTGAAGTGTTGAAAAAAGACAAATTAATTTTAGATATCTTTAATAATCTTGCTACTGATAATGGAAAGGCACGATTCCAATAATGCTTAATTAAAAACTCTCAGCCTGCTGTGACTTTCCTTAAATATATGGTTACTACTAAAAGTATTTGATTTGCACTGACAAAAGATTATACAAAAGTGATTCTGTCAATCCCTTCTATTAAAGCCCAGTACCTGAAGTGATCAACTTGGTTGATTACAAGGATCTTGTGCCTGATTTTCTTCCTGTTTAAAAATGCGTGCATGTATGGCACAAAAGTCAATAGTTCTTCAAAACGTTCCCTGAAAGGGACAATGATTGCGATTTTGTGAGGGCCCCATGCAGAATTGTCCGTCTCTTCCTGACAGGACTTGTGCACCAACGCATCATCATTGCTGCTTTGACTGCTGTTTATTGTGCAGTTGTAGTGCAGCCATATAACTGAGAACAATCCGAGTATTATTAATGAACAGAACAGCTTAAAGATGGAACATCTTCTTGGTAACATCCTAAGGAGCAGGCCTGACCTGAAAAACACAACAGCGCACACACACTTTAATTTCCAAAGAGACTAAAAGGCATGGCTAGAAAGAGCAAGTTTTAATAAAGCTACAGAAAACATTTGTGGTAGTGGGACTGAATACCAAAACAGGTGTTGCAAATGCTTAGAGCTTGTTTTTCTTGATTGCAATGGGCTTAGGTCCTAACCAGAGACACTCTTGTTTATGCCAAAGTACAGTAGCTGTTAAATGTTGCAGCCTTTACTCCAAGTTTAAATAATTCAAAACATATTTCCATATTTTGCAATTCATTAGCTCCTAAGTCCATTCAAGAAAGTTGGCATGCCTATACATTGAGAAACGCATACACCCAGGAACAATATTATTGCAGGTTAACAATATTATTATTATTATTGTGACACACAACTGCATGCAGTATACTCAAATCTGGATTCCAACATCAACTGACAAGCTTAGTTAATAAGTGTTGTTCCAACTATAAAATCATTAGCTTTTAAAGAAGTCCCATCCCAGACAGTGCTCCTTGCCACTCAAAATAAACAAAGTGTACTTGGTTTTAATGACATTCCCATACTGCAGCTTGGCAACATGCAGAAATATTAAGCGACAAGTAGTCTCAAATGGTTACCAAAGGCCTGGTGTAAAAACACGCATGAAATGAACATGTCCGTCTTCTCTCCCACCTATCCACCCCTCCCACCTCACTGACCAATCCCCACCACTCCCTACCTGCACTCACCTATCACCATCCCACCTACCTTCCCAGCCCCACCCCTCCTCACTCCATTTATTTCAGAGCCCCCTTCCACCTCCCCCATTTCTGAAGAAGGGTCCCAACCTGAAACGTCAGCTTTCCAGCTCCTCTGATGCTGCCTGGCCTGCTGTGTTCCTCCAGCTCCACACTGTGTTATCTCAGACGCCAGATCAGCAGTTCTTACTATCTCTAAGAAATGAACGTGTGCTCTCCCCAGGATAGTCTGTGTCATTGAAAGTAGCCCTGTGTTTCATCATACACCCTCAGCAGAAAATTTTAAAATCGCTGAAAAGTAATCAGTCCAATCAGAAGCAGAAGAACAAACATAATGCTTCTGATAGAGGAACCTTTAATGGGAAAAACAAGAAACACTCAGAACTTAAGTTCATGTGCACAAGTCAGTATGTTCACAGTACTAACTGCAGAGTTCTGATACACTAACATGCACATCTCTCTCTCTCACTCACTCACTCTCACACACACACACACTTAGTATTTTTGGATAGTTACACGTTGTAAAGTTCTGATGAAGGGTCACGGGACCCGAAACATTAACTCTGTTTTCTCCTCCACAGATGCTGCCAGACCTGCTGAGCTTTTCCAGCAACTTTGTTTTTGTTTTGTTGTTGTTGTAAAATTAGGATCCTGACGTTATACAAGACTTGTTCATATGCAGCGGCACAAAAACATAAGCCACTCACAAACTGGACTGATCTACGGAGACAAAACAGAAGTTGCTGGAAAAGCTCAGCAGGTCTGGCAGCATCTGTGAAGGAAAAAACAGTTAACATTTCCGGTCCGGTGACCCTTCATCAGAATGAGATCTACGGAGAGACTGACTCAAGCACCAGCCTTGCCAAACAACCAAACAATTAAAAGATATATCACTGAAATAATTTGATCACTCAAGTGGCCATTAATGCTCAATACATGCTGCTGCGTGCACAGAGCAAGCCTAGAGAGTATTAAAGTAGTACTAAATTCTTAACAGTCACTGGATTGTGTCCACCAACTTCATCCTTCTATAACAAGCGGTTTGAGTTTATGCTGGAACAATGGCCTTCATACAGATGTGATAAGTAAGGTGTTTTACAATGTCTCATAATACCATATTTTTTCATACCTGCTTAACTCGATTAAAAAGCATAGAATATATGAAGAACACTAGCCAGTGGTGAAGTCACTGCTCTTGTGATATTTTTCAATCATTTATTCGACACTAAGCTGCTTACTTTGTGCTGCATTTGCCCAGACTACTCCACCTGGGTCCTGTCTGCTCAGAATGTTGGGTAATTGATGTCAACGCTCACAATATTTACTCAAATCCCATTTTGCAGCATTACTCTAGTTTAACTACATGGGAGCAGAAACGGGAACGGGGAGAGAAGAGAGAGCATGAGGTGGAGCCGGGTGGGGAGGAGGAGGAGGAATAGGGACTTTATAAGCATGCTCTTCAAATCACCAATATCTCCTTATTATTTATAAAAGGCAAAGTCCTACTTAAAGACAAGAGTGAAACAGTGACCTTAACAGATCAACAGTCGCAAGACACAATTTCAAAATGCCAATTTGACACAGATTTAAAAAAAACACATTTCAGCAAAAGACAGAAGTAAATACTTATTTAACTGCCAGTGATTAAAGTACAAATTACTGTTTAAGGAAAACGAATACTGTACAAACACAGCATTCAAAGCTCACTGAACATAATGGTGACACACAGATTCCAAACAGGGCTCTGTGCAAACAATGCCAACAAAGCACATTGCTACACCATATATTTAAAATTGTATTATTTCTGAGCCATGCTGCACCTTGAAGGGCTCTGTATGATATTTGCCAAAAGCAACTGCAACATATAAACTAATACTTGTGATTTACACAGCAAGTTACAGTAATTCTATATTGCATAGAAGACTAACTGTACACTGCAATATGCTCATCTGTTAGCACCTCTCAACACAGTGCATTCAATAGCACCTTGAAAAACAAAGTAGGCACAACGTCTTGTAGGTCTTCAATTGGCCTGACCTGATCTGGCCTACGTGTGACTCTGGACCCACAGCAATGTGATCAACTCTTAACTACACTCTGAAATGGCCTAACAAACCACTCAGTTTTATCAAACCATTTGGACTACAGCAGTTCACAGCAACAGCTCATCATTACATTTTCAACAAGCAGTCAGTGATGGCCATCCTAACACATCCCATGACTGAATTTGAGACAAAATAGTAAGGTATGCTGATGATTATGCACAATTCGTGGACGTATACTCATACCCTAGGTAGATGGCCCATCAAGCTTTTAGGTGGTAGAGGTTCAGACTCACTCTAAAGCAGGGATGTTTATCCAGTGTGCCACAAGACCTCAGAGTGCAAAGTAGTTTAACCATGAATCAGAAACATTATGAGCTGTGATGACTTTGGTGCAGAAATCAATAGATAGACAAGGACAGAGATGTAGCCAACCACTTTCAGTCCTGTGTAGCCAAACACTTTCGGTCCACCTTAGATTACTGTGGAAGGTTAAGGTGTCTTAAAACTGTCAACGACAGGTGAAGATGGTCACTTCATGCTGCTACGAGTCATTCACTGTGAACAGGATGATGCCATAAAGCCAAAAAGATGACATCCTCCCACGAGTAATACGGTACCCGAATTTCACTGTCAGCGTGATACCAGGTACATAGGCTTTAAATCCCCACAACTGGCATCACGTAACACACCTCTTTGAGACAGTAAGGACTGCAGATGCAGGAAGCTATAGTCAATAAGTATGGAGCTGGAAAAGCACAGCAGGTCAGACAGCATCTGAGGAGCAGGGAAGCTGACGTTTTGGGTCGGGACCCTTCTTCAGAAATGGGCCTGACCTAATGTGTTCCTCCAGCTCAATGCTGTGTTATCTCTGACTCCAGCATCGGCAGTTCTTACTACCACCTGGTGGATACTGATCCCTGGTTCCTTCTCCATGTCAGCCAGAGTCTACTTGCCAACCAAGCAACACCGTGTCCCATGCAAGATAAATTGTTGTTCCCTCTGTCGTTTGCCATTCATTGTCCGAATAAGTGCAAGATTAAAAAAAAAACTGTCTCCTTATTTCAGCAAGATTTAAAACCAAAGCATACTTATCCATTTTATCATATTCTATACTTGCAGACCTGAAATGTCGATGCACCACCACACTTAGCAAATCATGACACAAAAGCTATTTATACTGCTAATCTATATTGTACTATAAATTAACTAGTCTAAAGTCAGTTCACTTACGAGGTGAATGCTTTGCTGGAACAGCAGTCAGCCAGTGTAGAATATTTCACCATTTAGGAAATACTCAAGTTATTTTTAAATGCTGTGAGAAATAAAATGCAGATTTCAGCTCTCTCTTTTTCAGTGTGCATGCTACATTCCAGTTTACCTGCTATCTTCCTTAGTGAAATAGAGGACAGGTTTGCGTCTGGAGGAGTACATCATCTTCCTTCACTCAGTCAGCTTTCAGTCAGTTTCTGTCGTCATAGTCTCTCTTGGCGTGGATTGACTCCTGTTCTCAATGTTTCTGTCAAAATCAACAACCATCCAGAGATATGCTCCAGGCTTGTCGAATGGCTTCAGACCTGATGTACAGTGCCAAGGGATTAGTGAACTCAATGACCCAAAGAGGAGAGCGAGACGCCAATGGAACAACCCAGAGTCTCATTCATGGGGAGATGTAGTCAAAGATTTAGACCCTTGCGATGAGCATCAAAAGATCTTCAATCCTGTTGATGCGAGGAGACAAATCCAGAGATCATCAATACTGTCAAAGCAGCACGTAGACTTGGAGACACACACACACCCTGACCCTGAGGGACACACACACACACCCCCTCACCCTGAGACACACACACACACACACACTGCCCATCACCCTGAGGGACACACACAGGGACACAGACCCCCCCCTCCCAACCCTGTGGGACACACAGAGACACAGACCGCCCCCCACCACACTGAGGGACACACACAGAGACACAGAGCCCCCCCCACCCTGAGGGACACACACAGAGACACAT